TGTCCCTGCATGCTCTAAAAACTTTTATTCATCTAGTTTTTTTCCCCGCAGTTTAATCCTTTGGAACTCTCTCCCATCTTCATGTTTTCCTGACTCATACAACCTTCAACTTTTCAAGTCTTCTGTCAACCGTTTCCTTGCTCTATAACTTTGTTCTTTTTTTTTTCCTAGTAACTCCCAACTTAATAGTGGTTGCTTGCAGCCTTATTGGGAGTGAATGCAAATAAAAAAAAAAAAAAAAAAATTAAGTTGTGATTGTTAAAAAAATATTTTATCAACTTGTTGCTCTGACGTTTAGGGCAGTTTTGGCCAAAATTTTAGGTATTTTTTGTTGCCAGGCTCTAATCATTTCAATTTTTTGCAAAGCATCCTTATTTGACGTAAGTATAAACATACAAATGTTTGGAGTTTTTTTCATTCTGTAAGTTAGCTATTTCCAACACAAAAAAATGCTGGATCTGCCTCTGTGTAGTATCAATTGTATTTCAATATTGCCACGATGCTGATAGACCTACTTTACTCTTAAAAGATTAAATAGCATACAGTGATAAACAATGCTCTACAGCTGTGTGAGTAACTTAGATTAATTCGCTTCATACGCGAGAGGTTCCGAGTTCGATTCCCACCACGTCCCTTGAAGTACCGCGCTCAACTTGTTTCTCCGCGCAGCGGCTTTATTTGTCAAGGTTCGTGTTATAGAAGTTATAGAGTTGAGAGAGGGTCATAACTACAATTAAGTAGCCTTCTTGACTGTAGTGGCCTTCTCGGCCTTGGGAAGGTGAGTTAACATAAAAAAAACAAAAATTTAATAACTGAGTTTTCCAAAAAATGTAGTAAAAAAAAATCAAATTAGTTCAACAAAATTGATATTTATATTATTTAATTATGCCATAAATTATTTGTAAAATGTATTTAAAGTAAAAGGATAGAATTTACAGGTGCTAGTTTATTGATTAAAATTAACAGAACAAAGTTTAGAATCCAAGCTAAACGCTTATGTGTTCGCTTGACTCAACGGCACTTTGCTTTAAAATAGCTTGAGGCCCTCAAATGTCTTAACCCAGCACTAATTAACTACAGCACTAGTTAAATACAACACTAGTTAAATACAACACTAGTTTTATGTTGATACTCAAAATAAACTTTATAAGAATAGCTTTTTATTATATAAAAAAAATATTTTAAAATTTTTTTCATTAAAACTTTTAACTTTAAACCTAAAAATATTAGGATATAAATAAATTTTAGGGAAGAGTGGGGAGATAATGGATATTAAAAAATACTTCTAGAATAATATTAATATATTTTTTATACAATTTATTAATTAATACAAATAAGTTTTAATAAATAAAGTATCATTTTGGGCACTGATTCCTTTAGATAGACAGGAGGTTATAACAAAGAATATATTTTTCGATTTTTGAGTAACTGCGATATTGGGGTAAAGGGAGACAAGTGTAGGTTAAATGGGATAAGCGAGTAACTAACAACATATTAGCAAAAGCATTACATTACATTACATTTAATTACAGGAGAATTGGGACATCAGTTCTTTTTTTTTTGTACCACTTTATCCCTCAATAAATACTTTTCAAAAATAAGTTTTTTACCACACGCAGGAAGAACAGTTTAACATGAAGATATTCGGACGCTCGCTTCAATTTTTAGTACTGGATATAATATATTTATACTAACAATTTAAAAAATTGTTAGTTTATTACGGCATGCTATCTAAATAGCGCAGCTGTTTATAAGATAGCTTTGTAACTATCAACATAACTACGATGTATTGCTGGCTACATATCGTAGCGCTGTAGCTACAAAAATTTGTCGTTAGTTGAGGGCTACGTACTGCATCTTTGCACTTTTCATTATTATCATTACAATATATCGATAGCTAGTGATTGTATTAACGTAGCTTGCTAAAACATAATGACAAATCTAATGCTCGTTGAATTTTATATTACATAGTTTTTTAGCTAGAAATGTTGTTTCAATATATACTACAAGATAATCCTATAGCTACTGGGTGGCTATTGCCAGCTATCGCTATAGCAATACGTGTATTCACATGAATATAAATAGAGCGGGGATTTATTTAGCAATTTTAAAACAATATATTGATTGCTACACAAGGACGGATGTAACATTTTTTGATGCTTGAGACAATGTTTTTTTGTTTTTTTTTTTGAAATATTGTAAATTTTAATAGCCATGTTGATAGCTATCTACGATATATAGCTATCAATACGATATGAAAAAACGATATGTAGCTATCGATACGATATGTATCAATAATATGTAGCTATCGGTACGTTATTTATCTACGATATGTAGTTATCAAATTGATACAGACTTATTATTATGTTATAGTTAGCTAAAATAATAAAAAACAACAAATATCTAAAATGATGTGGTTTGCATGCACACCACAGCTTGTTAGTTAGTGAATATTATTTTATCAATGGATAACGTATTAAAATATTTTTTCCAAAAAAATAAAAAGTAATTTCAACTATTTATAGATTTATAGTTAAGTTTTTCAAACTGCTTAACTGTTATATTTTAAAGACGTGAGTGCAACTTTTTTTGCACCTGTGGGTGCAGCTTTTTTTTCAGCTTGTGGATGCATCTTTTTTTGATGTTTGAGCTAACTTACAAACATGGAGGAAACTCCAAACATTTTTACGTTTATATTTATGTTAAATAAGAACTTTATATTCATCAATAAATTTTAAATTTTATAAAATAATCTTTTAGCGTTCAAAATTTCTCTAAAAAAAAGAGAATCCAAAATATCTTACCTGACCTATTCATTGACAATACAATCATAAAAAGAGAAAAATTTACAAAATTTTTAGGAGTCATAATAGATGAAAACTTATCTTGGAGTCAGCAAATTGATAGTATTTTAATGAAAGTTGCTAAAAACATTGGAGTTCTATACAAAGCTCAATATATACTAAATAAAAAGCAACTAACTCACCTATATTATTTATTTATTCATTGCCATATAAACTATGCCAATATTATATGGGGAAGCGCTCACAAAACCAAACTTAAATCTCTCTATCGGCATCAGAAACACGCAGCTCGCATAATTAATTTTGGAAATCGTTTTTCAAGCTCAACACCACTTCTTATAGAAATGAAAGCTTTAAATATATACGAACTAAATATTTTTAATATTTTATGTTTTATGTTTAAATGTAAAGAAAATTTATCTCCAAGTGTATTTATAAATCTCTATAATTTGAAACCAAAAAACAAATATAAACTTCGTGATAGTAAAAATATTCAAGAGCCGTTTTGCAAAACAAAAATTGACCAGTTTTGTATTTCTTATCGTGGTCCATTTCTTTGGAATAAAATAGTTTTAACTAACTTTGATTTTTCTTTTAAATGGTCTTATTCCTCCTTTAAAAAGAAAACAAAAAAAATAAACTTTTCAACACAAAATATATTTATTTATTTTTAGTATTTCAAGTTATTTGATATTTTTGTCGACTGTGTGATGAATATTATTTAAACAATATATGCTGAATACTTTATATTATAATATTGTTCAATATTGAGAATGTTATATATCCATATTATAAAATATTATGTTAAAACTTGCTTAACATCTGAAGAATATTCTAACGCTTATGTAATTTTTAATATTTGTAAATTTTCTACCTTTTAATTCGTTATATAGATTGTAAAGGGCTTCATGATAAGATCATGTGATCTTCTGGAAGTCCTACCAGTAATATATTCAATGTAAATTTACCTTGTTCATATTTTTCTGAAAAAAAAAAACTTGTTTGTTAATTATGGCTTTATAAAATTTGTAACCCCCTCAATTTGAGAAGAGTTCAAACTTTATATTGCCATAATTTTTAACGCTAAGAAATTATTATGTAAATTAAAAAGTTTATTGATGAATATAAATTTAGTTGAATTTAAAAAAAATATTTTGTCAACATATTATTTTCATGTTTAGTGTCGCAAAAATATTTTCATATATTTCAAGTGTCGCAAAAATACTTTAGGGCTTTTTTGATATATTTCATTTTAAAAATATGGTGATGGTGTATTTAAAAAAAAAATTAAAAATATTTTAGCAACTAGGTATGATTAAAATTCAATTGGGTTTATGGGTACAATGGTGAAAATACTAATTTTTCTTCAGTGATTACAAGTATTCTGGCAATAAACGTATCCATAATTCCAAAGAAGTTATGATAAGAGAAGATTTAATGTACTCGGAAAATCATAAATACAAAAATATTTACGGACGGCTAAATAAGGACGGCTTGCTAATATAAGCATAGGTTGAAACCACTAACATTGGTTGCTACTTGACAAAATATTCTTTAGGTATAATAGACTAAAATGTAGTTTAAAAAATTGGAGGCTTGTGTCAAGGTTGATCCCAAGATATATATGAATTAGTTATCAATTTTTAGAATTTCGATTTTTAATATTATCACTGGCATTACGTCTTGACCACTATTTCTAAATTTACATTTGTCAAGATAAGTCATTAATTATTATCACACCATTGTTAAAGTATATCTGCTACTATCTAGACTGATAAACAAGTGGTTAAGTTTATACATAGGAATAGTGCGATCGAATGTTTAGATTGAATACTAATGCGAAATCAAAGTTTATATCTTTTAGTAAGGTATTACGGTCAATACTATACCCTTAGTCATTTTGTATGATTGTATAAAAAGAATTGTAGTTGTATGATGGCACTAGTTGTAGTTCTGCACTGTGCTTTAACCAAATGTTTGTGTTGAGTAAAACATTTTTCTTATGATAGATATATTACTTTACTTGCTCATGTATATATATATATATATGTATATGTATATATGTATATATATATATATATATATATATATATATATATATATATATATATATATATATATATATATATATATTACTTTATTTTTTTATTTCTTTTTCAATAATGTATTATTTTATTAGATTTATTTTTTTATAAGATGTTCGGTATTGGCAGTATTGCTCAAACTGTCCTAGGAAAAGGAAAATTTGGCGGCATACTCTCTATCAATTTTGGTTGGGGAATTGGTATTATGATGGGATTATATTGGTCAGCAGGTATATCAGGTAAACGAATTTTATAATATATCATAATAAATATAAACATTCAAATTTAAAAAAAATTTATTATAAAATTCTCTTTCTTTACTTTTTTGGTTATTAACTCTTTTTTTAAGGTGGTCACTTGAACCCAGCAGTTACTTTAGCAATGTCAATAACTAAAAGATTACCGTGGAGAAAATTGCCTGTTTATTGGCTAGCACAAAGTATTGGAGCATTTATAGCGTCAGCAATTGTGTATGGTATTTATTTTGGTAGGTCTTTATTATAAATAAGATAACTAACAAGTATAGTTATTAAAAAAATAATAACAACTTATAATAAGAGCCTAAAAATTCTAAATTTTTATTTGTCGTCATTTTCAATCTCACTTTGCAATGTACTTTTATAAAAACGTACTTTTTGATTTACCGATTTCTTTTGTCACATCATCATCATCAGTGTCATCATTATCATTATCATCAGTGTGATCATTATACCTAAGTAATTGTAATTATTAAACTTAATTAGTCGTTTTCGATTAATATTCTTGTCCGAATATTTAACAGTTAAGTCCATATAAACAATATATGAAACTATGACAGTTCCAATTTTGTAGGGGTCATGGGCGCTTACAGGATTTATTTATTTTTTAGACAACACTTTCAGATATTTTTAAACTCCATACTTAAGTTTGTTTATGTCTTTATCAAATGACGATGCTTTTCCAAAAATTGCGGTGAGAAAAGCCTGGGATCAAAAACACTCCAAAATAAGAGGTTGTAAATATTGCATGATCATAACATTTGAATGTTAAAATATACTTGAATGAAATTTAAAGTCTGTCTGTGAATTTAAATTTAGTATAAGATAACAAAGTTGAAAGTGTTACTAACTCACTACTCTCACGTGTAGACATGGGGGAAAAGAAGAGGAAAGGGGGAACTTTTTTTTTAGCAAAGATCCTTATTTGACATAGACATGAATATACTCAAGTTGAAAGTTTGTAAATGCTTAAAAGTGTAATATCTGAAATTCAAACTTCCCGCGGACGCCCCTCAAATACCCTGCTGGCGCCCTTAGTTGTGGTTTTACAATAAAATATTAAGTAACAAATAATAAATTGGACAAAATGAGATAAAATTTCTGACTAACAACTTCTTGTACAAAGTTTTTGATAACTATCTTGAAGTTTTTGATTGCGGTAAACCAACCAGAAATAAGAAATACTCTCTTAAATTTCCAAAAATAAAACTCTTTTGCTGCAAAGTAAAGTTTAATAAACCATTTAATTAGTTATTAGTACTTTTAATTAGGGCAGATTAGGGTGATATGAGCACCTTGGTAGTATGAGCATACTTAAAGACTTTTTAGATGTAAGAAGTGAACTTAAAGTTGCATTATATTTTTCGAATTGACTTTATGTGGTGATAAAAGGAATCAGTACAATTAGCATAAATTTATATGCAGTATTTAGCGGCTATCATCTAATTAAAACGTTGTTAAATTTTTTGGCGTTGTTAAAATAGTACCATCACGCATAAATAAATCTGTGGCACAAAATTGGATCTATTGTTGGCAGTTGGCAAATATCGGAAAACGAGGACCTTTTTTTTTGTTTTTTTTTTTTATTTTATATTTATTTTTTTTTAGATAAGTTAGTGTTCAAAAAAATTTTTGTCGGCAAAAAACAGACATATCAACCCCTCCCCCTCCCTTTAAAATCTCTTCAGGACGGCCCTGATCACACATGAATATATGTATGTGGCGCAAAATTTTGGTGCTAAAATAATCAAGTTAATTTTTTCATTAAAAAAAATATGTTAGCTAAAAATCCAATCAATTTTTGTTTAAAAAACTATACGTAGAAACATTTAGTTTAGACTTTATTTAAAGATGCCATTTTTGTGTAATATGAGCATGCTCAAATTATTCAGTGTATTTAATTGAAATTACCTAGTTTAAAGTCCTAAAACAGCAGTGGTTTTAATTGCTTTTTAATAAAAACAAAACAGTAAAAAAATTTAGTATTTTAACAATACTAAATATTTTTCTGTAATTCAAAAAATTTAAATTTTTTTCGTTTTAAGTTTTGAGTTAATAAAGTAAAAAAAATAAGGAACTAATTTATTTTTTAGCGGAAAATATAGTTTCAACAAAAAGTGGCTTAAAATTTGATCTTTCAATGATAAGTCTTGTTAATAACAAACCATTATAATTCAAAAATTAGTTCTTATTGTCAAGTTGGTATTTTATTACTTTATGTTTTTTTTGAGCTAATTTAAAGTGCTCATATTACCAAGTTGTCTGGGTAATATGAGCACTTTTGCTACTTTTTTAAAACCTCTGTGTTTTAAAAAAAAAATTTCGGGTGCCTAAATATCATAAGTAGGGATCCCTAAAAATTGTTTATTCGCAAATATATTGGATACAGCTTAATTATTTTTGAAAATATTCAAATTTTCGCTTAAGGTGCTCATATTACCCTAATCTACCCTATATAATGATTTTACGCATTCAACTGTTTTATTATTTGTTTTTGTAAACTTTTTAACACTATAAATTTATATTGTTTGAAAAAACATCATAATTGAGATTAAAAAAAAATTATGTTTGAAATGAAAAACATTAGATTTGTTTTTAGATTAAAGAAATATTTTTTTATATAGTTACACATGATAAAATACCCCATGATGATTATTTCTATTTTCAGAAGTCAATCAATTGATAGAAATCAATAATAGTTAAGTTATAATAAAGTTAAAAAAAATCCTGGCATGTTCATTAGGTACTACATTTATATGCTCTCCTGCCCATACTTATGATGATCAAATTACGCAACACCTGCGAAATAAAAAACACACAGTTGGCATTCTTTGTATAAACTATTGTCAATTAAATTATGCACTTAAAGAGATCCCAAAGTGCAGAGATAAGCTGTGTTCATATTAAAGAGAATGATAAAATGTTTGGGTTGAATTTTTTTGTGTAAAACAAAAAAATAAACGTATTCCAAGAAAAACTAACTTTGTTGTTTTACTCGAAGCTCGCCGTCTCCATGTTAGCCAGTTCCTTAAAGTCTTTAAAATATACGTAGCAATATAGACTTTATAATTTATTTAAGCGTGTTTAATTCCAAAGTGTTTTAAAATGTAACTTCTGCGACAGGTACTTACATCACGTTCAAAAATTCAAATTAGAATGTAAATTGATTGGAAAATAGGCTATATACCCTATATTTATGGTCATATTTATTATATACATATATATTTGGTTGAGGTCTAAAGTATTTTCAGAAGACTACTTCAAGCTATTAAGAGCAAAATATTTTCCATAAAGTTGTCTTTTAATTTGTCCGTAAAATTGTCTTCTACTTCAAGTTTTAATTTTTACCGGTTCTTTATATTTTAATCAGTTGAGAGAGAACCTTAACGAAACTGTTTTTACAATCCTAATTTTCAATTTTCAATCGGTGTAGTTAAGGCGATTTACAAATTATTCGAACACTTTTATTTGGAATCAGCATGATTTTATCAGCGTATTATGTCCAAGCAAAAGCTTTAGATGGAATAATTTTTTTTGCTTCTGGTCTTTTAATATTTAAAGAACTTTTTTTTTATATATATAATTTTTAAAACCTTTTTACTACCCGTAATAGTGTATCTAAAGAACATTATTTTGAAGTCTTTAGATCAATTCCGCTCATCGGCTTTAACATGAATTTAGTTAAAACCTTTTGAAAAAGTTCCTTAATTTACTACTTATTCTAGTTCTAATTGGTTCTGACGTATATTAACTAAATATAGTTGTCAAAACACAATATTTCTATCAATTTTTACAAAATTTACTAGAATTCCGACCAAGAAATAGCTTATAATTAGGGAAAATTGCCAATAAACGATCAGAACAGATCATATTGTTAAACTATAATGTTCATTTTACCTAAAAAACGTGGTAATTCAAAATCTTATTCAAATTTGGACGAGCGATAGTGATTTTAATATGATTTTTTTTTTTTTTAAAGAATTTTTGGTCTGGGTTTTTTTGCTACAAACATATATATTTTATGATACCGCAAAATTTATCATTTTAATATTTTTCGTCTTTTCATAATTCACAGACCTGACCATTTAACGGAAATATGCCGTAGTCCACACGACGCTATAATATTTTAAAAGTGCCTTAACTACACCGAGAGTGAAAATATAAAGTTTATAAAGCAAGATAACGATTAACAGACAACTTAAAAGGTTGCAAGTTATATGAATCAGAAAAAAAAGATGAAGGGAGCAAATTCCAAAGAACTAATGTTCGAGGAAAAAAATAGAGGAATAAGAATTTTTGGAGCACTAAGGGACATTCACAGACAAAGAAATAGACTTAATTGAATGATGAGTAACACAAGAATAAATTTTAGTATATGGCACAAAAGACGCTAGCTCTTTAAAGCAGCGCTCATTATAGTATTTATAGAAAAGAGAAATAGAAGCAACATTACGACAATGTGACAATGGTTTTAAGTTGGCTGCATGAGCAGGCCTAACAATTTTTAACATGCGATTTTGAACTAAAATTGTTTTACACTTTGTCTAAAAGAAAAAGTGCGTCATTTGTTTTTATTTTTATTCAACGTCGCATTTTTTTTAGACAAAGGCATTTAATTAGTTCATTTTTTTAATAATCGAAATCAGTAAAAGTCAACGTTTTGGTTTGTAAACATTTTCTAAATCTGATTGAAAATATAATGAGACCGTAGTTTTACGAGTGCGTTTTATAATACGCCCGCATCTCAGTTTCTAAATCAGCCTAGTAGTTTGATGGATGCAAGCATTACACATCTTATCAAGAAAAGAAAAAAAAAAATTAAAAAACTTTTATTGAATTTAATTAATCTAATTTCACCAACACTGGTTTTCTGTGAAAAGCGAAAAGATGGATAATTATGCAATAGGAATGGCTTAAAATCAATGAAAGTTAGGTGGATATTTTTCTCAATATGTTGAAGTAACTATTGCCGTTTGTATAATTACATTTCGTAGTTTTATTTAAGAGTGAATATTTTAGACTACCCGTATAGTTTAATTGATAATAAAGGTATTGCACTGTACAACGTACGTAGGTATTTAATTTTATGACTTTGTAAAACTATTAGTATTTTTATATTATTATTTTGATATTTAATATTTATATTTTGACTTTAAATAAATGTTAGTTCTATTAATGAATTATTGTATATAAGGATATTATAAATATGTAATACAAATATAGATTTGCTCAATGCACTCGATGGCGGTGTAAGAAATGTTGATACAGCTTTTATATGGACAACTCGACCGGCTAAAGGTGTTTCAACTGTCACTACTTTTTTCGATCAGGTAAAATAAAAAAGGCTACAAAATAAAAAAATAAACTCTTATGATAAAATCTATAAAATAATAGAATCTTATGATATGCTCTAGAAAAATAAAAAGTAAAGCTAAAGAAAATACTACTTTATTATTTATATAAATCATTCAAATAAACTTTTATATCTTGTTTAAACTTGAATTAACTTTTTAAATTGTTAAAAAAAATCGGAATGTTTCTACTTGACTGCTGTCAAGTAGAAACATTCCGATTAGTAATTATAAAGTATACGATCGAACAACGCGTCTTCATTGTTAAATCATGCCAAAGTTGGAAAAAAAATTTGTCAAAATTTAGAAGTAGTTGTCCAACAAATTCCACAATTATTGTAAATAAATTTGAAATAATTAGATCAATTCAAAATTAAATAATAAAATTTATTGTCGTTAAGTCCGTTACCAAGGAAACGTTGCTGCTATCAGTAAAAGTGATAGTGAAGAGCCAATCACATCGATTTGTTATTGTTTATAGCAGTAGGCATAAAACAAACTTTTTCAATATTTTGCATAAGGATCTTTATCTAAAGGCAGTTGACGCAATAATTATTGTCAAATGATCATGGGTTATTTTGGAAATTGCATTTGTTATTTTGAAAATTGCTTGATATGTAAACAAATAAAATTGTTTAATTTGGTGTGAATAAAATTTGCCAGTAATATTTGAAAAACAATCGTATCCAATTATTTGGTTTAGGTTTTGGTCAAATATATATGACCAAAACCCAAACCAAACAATCTATAGATTGATTAATCCATGTTTCTTTAAAAAATCAAAGTAAACAGGCTGTTGCTCTGAATGGAACAATTAAATTATCTTGTTGTTTGAGGAGTTAGAGAATAGTGGTGTGTAAAACATATCGTGTTTATCGTGCAACATGTCACACAGCAACATAAAAAATTAATCTTTTGGAAAAAAAGTTTAGTGATTGAGTAGTTACTCGAAAAAAGAAGCCGATAAAAAAAAAACTAACACCATTAGATTTATTTTTATGGCGTTTTTTGAGGAACAAAGTCTACGCAAATAATCCTCAAACCATTAAACATCTGGAGGAAAATCATCGTACAAGTTTTTTAAATTTAACCACAATTATACCAACATGTTGGAAAAAATTACTGAAGGATTTACGGTAGAGCTGCAAGATCGCTTAACTGATATTCTTTTCTATTATTAACGGCCACGTGGCAGAGAAAAGTCTTATTAAAAAATGGGTTGATGGCCTACTTGAATTACTGATTTGTTGGATTTTCCTGATTTGTTGGATTTTCCGTAAAAAGTTAAGAGGCCAGTTTTTTTACGGCTTAAGTATTAAAACTTCATTTTTGCTATGGTTAAGAGTCTTGTTTGCACTATAATTGTTTAATTTTTATTTTATTAAAATGGTTTAATAATAGTTAGATTTTCTTTGAGTACTTACATTATTTTGTGCTGGATTTTCTGTTAACTGATTGCCTGCTTCAGTTTATTCCAACAACACAGAATACTGAGATAGGCTTTCAGATAACTATATCAACGCATACCAACATACTACTAAAAATAATCTTTCATGTTGCTAAGATTGCCTAAAACTCTCTATTGAACAAAAAAAAAAGGTTTGTACTTTTGTATTTTTTATAATTTAAATTAAAAGAAGAAATTTTTGTAAGTAATGTTTAATTTGTCTTTGTCTTTTTTGGAATTCTTTTACTTGATCTTTTCTCAATGAATATGTGATTTTTTATTATAAAAATATTGTTAACAATACGAAATCTATATTTGATTCCCCATTTATGGTGGTTTTTATTTGTAAAATTAAAACTGCTAGATCAAATCTTTAAAATTTGTTTCACAAATTTTTAATTGAAAAAGAATGACTGCAATGTTTTATTAGAGAAATAACATAAAATACTAAAAAGATGACAAATAAAATTAGACAGAGGTTGAATTGAATATATAGGTTCTTCTCTTTATAAATAATGTTTATTGATCATAAGTTTTGCATTAAAATCTTTTTGTTAATTTTTACCATTATTACTTGCTTTAATATATATATCTGTGCTATCTTCAGAAAGCTGACAGTACTATTTATGTAGACAACTAAGAAATATTTTGCATAATATTTTTTAAGGATTATCAAAATTCTGTTAAGTATTTTCTGGGAAAATCTGCCAAAATCTTTTTACTAAGTCATATTTCTAAAAGACTCACAAAAAGTCTACTACTGGTCATTTAACTATACTTACTAAAACCTAGCTTTAAAGGATCACATTGTAAATTGGAACTGTAAACAAATGTAAAGCCTTCTTCAAGGAAATCATGCATAAGAAATACAATTGTAGTGTTGTAATTAGAGCACAAGAAGTTTGTTTGGTTAAAGTATTTATCAAATTTTATTTTGATCAAATTTAAGTACAATTTGCAATTTCTTTATAAAGTGTGGGTTTGTTATCACCTTTCAAAGCAACACTGCTGAGTTTGATTGGATGAATTACGTTTCTGCTTTGAATTAAGTATAATAAATAACTTATAAAACAATGATAAAAATTGTGCTGCGTTATTTCTTTCAGAAAAATAACTCTAAATTACAGCTGCAGTTGTTTCGTCAAATATTGTCAATGTTGACAACTTGTTTGTTGTTTCCAAAATATGTGACTTGATAATTAATTTTTATTGCTTTTTCTTGCCTGTTTAATAATTGATCTTTTAATAAACTTTAAGACATATATTCTCCAGTATATGTTTTATTAAACTACAAAAATGCATTAACATTTGTAGAATGGTTATCGGTAACAACAGCTCTTATCTTAAATTCAGATTGGCGAATTGAGGTAATATACTCATCAATTTTTTTTTCAAACATAAACCAGTTATGTAAACTTTAGATGAGGATTTCAAAACATAAGAATAAATTTTTGAAGCCCTACAATCATAAAAACAAAAAACTTCTTTAAAAACTTCTTTAAAAAGATTATTTTCTCAATCTTCATCAAAATTTTACCACTTTGATAATGGGCTGCTTTTTGGAAGTACATCTTACCCACAAGAAGCAAATAATCTCTTGATACCAAATTTTTGTCAATGATTTTTCTAATATATTATAGTTTTTCAATTTGTAATTTTCACCATTGTGAAACCATTTAAATAAAGAAATATGATAAGCATTTATTTGGCAATAAAAAAAAATAGAAATTTATTAACAGCTATTGACTCCAAAACAGTTGGTCTTGATAACAGCCTGATATTTCTTGCCTACTGTAAATAAATGGCCTGATTTGTTGCATTTTAATTACTGTATGTTTGAGACATGCAGCATATTAAAGTATTTACATTGGAAAACCTTGTTTTTCAGTGTAAATATTTTAAAGAAAATTTTATGTTTTCTACTTTATAAATGCAATTATATTAAATACAAAATTACAAACCTTTAAAATTATTTCCAATGGAGAATTGTGAGTAGTTTTAGCAATATGTAAGATTATTTTCAGTAGCATGTTGGTATGTGTTGATATAGCTATCTGAAAGCCTATTTCAGTATTCTTTATTATTGGAATAAACTGAAGCAGGTAATCAGTTAACAAAAAATCTATCACAAAATAATGTAAGTTCTCAAAGAAAATGAAACTATTATTAAACCATTTGAATAAAATAAAGATAAAACAACTATAGCAGTGGCGGATTGAGGTTTAGTGTCGTGGGGGGGGGGGGCCAAGTCAATAAATAGGGGCGACCGGGGTTGTCTTCAGTAATTTGATCTTATAATTTTTTTTTTTTGATTGTTTTAGGGGGCGCCGCACTATGCGTCGCGAAGCGGAAATAGGATTTTACTTACTTTTCAGAAAAAAATTTTCAATTTTAATATTTTAAGTATTTTTTAACTGAAACAAGTTAGTATTAGTTAATAAAAAAAAGTTTTTTTTTAATTTTTTTAAATTTGCCTTTTTAGGTGCGGGATTTTCAGGGGTAAAAAAACCCATGTTTTCACTAAATCTTTAAATTACATAAGATAATTTTCAAATTTCTTCATTTTTTTTGCACATTTTCTAATAAATGATACATTTCGTAAATTAAAAACCAAGAAAAGAAAAAAAAAATGTTTGGATCATTGTTTTTGGGTGTCTGTAAAGATTGATCGATTAGACCATGTTACTACAGAGGTAGCCAGTTTTTTATTTTTTTTAAATTTTCTCAAACAAATTGACTTTTTATAAGTGAAATAATATTCTGGCTACCTCTGTAGTAACATGCTATAAAATCAATTCAAAAGAGGTGGATTTATTAAAAACCGGTTAGTTAGTTTTTGTCAAGAAGAAACTGGATGCGGGCGGAACATTCTTTTCTAGTCTTTAAGTTATAACCTCAGTTTGGCTCTCATCGTGATTTAGAATTTTTTAAAAATGGTTACTTTTAATCTTAGCAAACTTCTGGCTGATAATTTTCCTCCAAGGCATATTTTCACGAGTAAAAACGTATCTGAATGTGCTAAATTTTTGCAGTCCAAGTTTTTATCACTTTATGCTGTTTGCACTGTGAATTTCAACATTTTCAAAAGTCTGGCTTTTAACTTAATAAAAAAATTTAATGAGTGTGGAAAAAGAAAAAAGTTCTTTCTTACTAAATATAAACATTTTTTGGATCAAAATCAAGAATGCAAATATCTCTTGTGAGTATAATATTTTCTATATTGATTTATTATAAATAAGTAATAAATATTGCATTATAGTATATATATATATATATATATATATATATATATATATATATATATATATATATATATATATATATATATATATATATATATATATATATATATATATATATATATATATACACACATATATATATATATATATATATATATATATATATATATATATATATATATATATATATATATATATATATATATACATATATATATTATACTTGTGTGTGTAGATTAGAAAAAGATTCTGAAAAAGAGATTAGAACACATGAGGAAGAACTGCTATTAATTAGAAAAGGTGAAAATCTGATTAAACAGGGTAATCAACTCATCAAGCAGGGTGAGCGTAAAATAAAAGAAGGGGAATTACTGCTTCGTACTCATGGATCCAATGTAAACAGGTATGCATAGATAAATGTATCTCCCTCTTTTTATTTTGCACACACACATACATATTGTTTGACTATGTTTCACAAAACCTTCAAAATGTATATATGTTTCAATGTATTTTTTTATTATTTATAGTGTACCATGCAGAGTGCCTAAATCATCTGCAGTCAATACATCTTGTACACCAAAACCTAGAAAGTCTTTTATTAAGCTTACAAACAAGATGAAGCGTAAAAGAACAGATAGTCTTAGAGAACGAGAGGTGGAAGAACTGCAACATGCTGTCAAAAGGTTTAAATCTAATTCTTCTACTGATGGTAGGGCTATTTTATATGGTTCAAATTTGTCATTGCAAGCTCTTTGTAATTTGAAACTTACAGATAGAACATGGACTGAATTTAAAAATATAGTGACTCATAATCGTCATCTTGTTCCTCCAGGTTTAACCAAGTTGAAGCAATACAAAAAATTGACATATCCAGAACAGGTTGAATATTCTGAAACCGAAGTAAAATGTAGTCTTTTCCATATGATAAAGCATTCAGTTTCTAGAGTGTTTGAATATCTTTTGGATTATGAAAGTAACTGCATAATGAGTTTATCACAAGAAGAGCGTGATAATGTACAAATTATTTGCAAAGTAGGAGGTGATGGTCAAAGTGATCAATCGGAGTTTCAAAATTCAGCAACTATGAAAAGAGGTGTAGATGATCGCTCTGTGTATAGTATAGTGTTTGTACTGCTGGAGATCGGAAGTGGAGAAAAAATAATATGGAAAAATTTAATTCCAAATAGTCCAGATGCAACCCGTCATCTTCTTTTTTGTTTTGCAAAAGAGACTGCTAGTTTTATTCAGGAAAAATTTGAACATTTGAAAAATGAAATTTTTTTATTAAAGAATATTGATTTTAAACTTGGTGAAAGTACTTTTGTAGTAAAGTCTAGTTTGTCAACTATTTATACCACAATGAATGATGGCAAAACACTAAACGCTGTTGTATCAAATATGCTTAAAAAAAGAATTTCATCTCAGTCCTGCCATGTATGCCTTGCAAATTCTAAGGAGTTTAACTTGAAAACTATTTGTAAAAAAAATATTAACTTAAACAAGCATGTTTTGAAACTTGGAATTTGCAGTTTTCATCTATGGATGCGCTGTATGGAGTGGATTTTCAATACTGCTTGTAAACTCCCAGCTGTTAAGCAAGGAAGAAATATTCCATCACAAAAGAGTAAAGAATTTATTGAAAACAAAAAAAAATTCCAGCATTTATTCAAGATAAAACTGAGTATAAGGGTTTCTTTTGTCAGGAAAGGATGTGGAACAACCAATACTGGAAATGTTGCTCGCAAATTTTTTAATAACCCCATTGTGACAGGGAGAATTTTAAACTTGGATATCAGAATGATTAAGTTGTTTCGAGATTTACTCATTGATATAAACAGAACAACTACAAGACCGGATATAAAGGTTTTCAAACAGAAATCTGAACATCTATTTGCACTCATAACTAATGATAAATTTTTAAAAACCATACCTATGTCACAATCTGTGCATAGAGTGATAGTTCATGGTACTTCTTTTATAAGGTATTTTAAGTATCCGATAGGTTCTTTGTCTGAGAGTGCTATTGAAGCCAGAAATAAGGAAAACAAAACTGCTCGAATTGGTCATGCTCGTTTAACCTCTTTTGCAGAAAACACTAGGGATACAGCTAATTATTTGTTTATGACAGCTGATATGTACCTCTTTTGCAAAAAAAATAAAATGGATAAAAAAAGAGTGAAAACAAAATAGTTTAAGAAAGCAAAGTGAAAGTTCTTCTGATAACTGCTTAAAATAAAGGTAAAATAGTTTTATTATTAATATTGTTAATAGTTTTGATTGATTTTTTTTTTGGTTAGGCAATCTCATAATTTTGGTTAATTAACAATTCAAAGTTGCGTTTTTTTTTTGTTTTTTTTTTTATGTTTTTAAAAAAAAATTTAAGAAAAAATTTAATCAATTTTAACAAGTAATTAACTATTTTAGGAAGTAAGACCATGAAGAATCATACTGATGAGCTGTTCTGCGTTGAATTTTTAAAAAACGGCTATTTTCATAGCCACAAGTTATTAAAAACATCTATTAGAATAGAATGTCGAGAAACTGTAAAAGAATGCAAAGAGCCAAGTATCATATGATAGCAGAGTTGTTTATTATATTCAATGATACTGTTTATTTTGAAATAGTGTTCATATACATAGTTTGTAAAATTCTATAAAATATAGGCGCCTACTTTTTTTTGAATAAAATCATCCGGACTTGTGTAGTTTTCCAGACAAATCTAGAATTAGTCCGGACTAACCGAAAAAAAATACAATAAATTGTTTTTTAATGAAAACCGAATATGATTCTTTTAAATATAGAAATATAAATAAAAATTTGATGTCTTGTGAAAAAATAAGTTAAATATTTTAAGTCCTTCTTTATTTATATGCCTATTTCCTCATTTTGTATAAGAGCAACGCATAGTGCGCCGTTAGACCGTTCTAGGGGGCATGGGGGGCAGCTTGCACCCCCTCCCTACGCCCTATACTAAATCCGCCACTGAACTATAGCGCAAACAAGACTCTTAACCATAACAAAAATGAAGTTTTTATACTTGAGCCGTAAAAAAACTGGCGTCTTAATTTTTTACGGAAAATGCAACAAATCAGGCCGTGTAATTTAAGTAGGCCATGATGGGTTTTAAAAAGTTAATTTAAATTTAAACATTTTAAACTTTTTTATATTGTTTTTATGTTTTTTTGATTGACCTATCTTCAATGCAAGGGATTTTGTATTGTAGATTTTATGTTTTTCTTCTTTACTCAGTTAGTTTCACAATTAGAATTGGTTAATTACTTTTATAAACTATTTTTATTCTTTAAGCTTGTAAGTAGTACGCTTCTTGTTGGCTTAATATTTGCATTGACAGACAAACGAAATGCTGGACCGAGTCCCCAGGTTTTACCCTTATGTATTGGATTAATTGTTTTTGGTATTGGTCTTGCTTTTGGAATAAATTGCGGTTATGGTATAAATCCGGCACGCAATTTGATACCTAGAATATTTACTGCCATTGCTGGCTGGAAGGTAGAAGCGTTGAGGTAACTATATTATACAAAACTATTTTTGTTGTGCTTGTTTGTTCTTTCCTGATAGCAAAGATACACTCAGCTAATATTGATATAATGTAGGGGAAAGGTGCCTATGATGGCATAGCGTCTTAAAATAAACATAGGAAACAATAATTAAATATGCTATGACTTGATAAGGGTTTTGACTGTTGTAGGGAACTCGTAGAAGACTAAAATTAGTCTTATCATCGAGAACCTTGGGCTATTGCGTAAAGTACACATATAAACATTATGATTCTCATAAAACAAATATTTTAAATGTTACTGATGAAACCCTTTTTTTTTCTTTTTATTATACCATGTATGGTGTTAGTGTTGTGGTTTATAATAATAATATTAGCTTTATTTTTTAATTTAAAAAAATATATTTTCATTTTTGATTGATTGCTGATTGTTTGAATGTAAGCGTAAATATTAATTTATCATTAGAACTAAAACATTTCTAAGTAATTATCTGTATTAAGAACATGATTTTTTAGTTTTGAATTTAAAGAAGTTATATTGTCAGTAAGAGAAATTGAGGTATAAATCGAAATTAATTTGTTATATAAATAAGGGCGCGATAAGAATTTTGTTGTCTTTTCCGGGGTACAATAAAGTTACCAGTTGCTCTTGTGTTAAATTTGTTGATATTAGATTGAAAAAAAATTCTGCAAATCGGTTTGGAACTAATCCTAATTTGTATTTTAGCATGAATAATATTAGCATAGATATTAATTTGGTAAATGTTTAGGGCTTTCATTTCTTTTAATCGAGGTTTAGCGTGGGTCAGTTTGTTCTTATGATGTATTATTCTAGAGGCATGTTTTTTTCGTCGATAAAGGGACATTAACTTTGTCTTGTGTGTGCTTCCCCAAGCAATGTTGGCATATTTGAGATAACTATGAATAAAGAAAAAGTAAAGAAGTTTTAGGCTTTTTGTGATAAAAATAGTCTAGCTTTAAAGAGTATACCAATACTTTTAGATATTTTAGTGTTGATGGCATTTATATGGGCTGTCCATGAAATATTTTTGTCAATAATCACACCAAGAGATTTAATTGTTTGGGTTCTTTCAGTTTTTTTGTGTTCGATACTTAGTAAGGGTAGAATTGATGGCACCTTTGATGGCATACCGGTCATATTTCCATAAAAATTGGTTCTGGTGAAAAAGTGATTAGATCTACATGACTATACTGACTTTACATTAGTTTTGGTAAAAATACGTCCCTTGTGCACAAATATTGTTTTTATAATCAGAAAAAATTGATTTTGGGATGTGCAAGTTTTATTCCCTTCATATATTTAAGATTGTGATTTTATTATTCACCATGCAGAAAGTGAATTTTTATGCATTTTACATCCAAGTTTTGTGCACTTAGTGAAATACTTACTTTAATTTTATTTTTTAAATAAAAGCAGACACAGCTTGTTTTAATAAAAATAATGACTTTTTCCTATGATGGCATATTGACGATTTGAGTGTCTTGAGGAAAACCTTTTTTTTTTATAAGAAAAACTTATTTTTAATTAAAGTAAAAAGAAAGCAATGCTTTTTTTTTACTTTAATTAATTACATTTTTCGGACCAAAAGCTTTTTTTTTTGGTCCGAAAAATGCATAAAACGCAATATATCCTATGCGCATGCGCGAAACATTACAATGCTGCTGTGTAGCATGAAATGGTAAATTAGGATGGTTCCGAGTATTTTCTGGCTTATCTGAGGGAAGACTCTAAGTTTAAATGAAATCATCGAGCTAACCTCAATCCTAACCTGCCTATCCTCCCCTATGCCATCATAGGAGCAGTGGTTGCCTATGATGGCATACTTGTGCTTTTTTTAAAATAGGAATAACTTATAAAAAAAGCAAAACTAATGAAAAATCCAAGGAGCATTATTGTTCTACTTGTAACAAGGAATGTACCCATATCAAAACTTTAATTATTGGTCTTCAGCATACTGAATAATGAAGCTTCAAAGTTAATTATGCCATCATAGGCGCCTTTTCCCTATATTATTTTATTATTGCAGTACAGGAGGATTATTGATAAGACCAATGTTGTCTTATCGATGATCACACCTCTAATCTATAAATTTTCTACTCTTTTGCTTACTTGTCTTAACTATTTAACTGATAACCCACCCGCTCACTGATCCCACCCCCAATCTATAAATTTTTACTCCCCCTAACTATTTAACTGTTTTTAACTCCCCCTAACTATGTAGCTATTAAACTATTACTCCCCCTAACTATTTAACTGCCCATTTCATTGCAATTAGGCAGGAGAGATAGAGAGAGAAAGAGAGAGTAATTTTATTTATAATATTTTGAGACTGTCTCATTATTAAGATAAAAGATTGCAACATAATTCTGATGGTGGGACAGTCTGATGTTATCAATTTAGTGAGGACGCACCCTGATTGTCTCAATCTGATGACGAGACAATCAGTCTAATAGTACTTCATAATTAATACTTCTAAAAATATTTTTTTGTTTTAATATTTTAAAATGTTTTATGGTTTTTAAAATATTTTAGTTATCAAAACTATTATTTCTGGGCCCCAATCCTGGCACAATTACTTGGTGGTGTTTTGGGTGCTTTTGCGTATATTATATCAATTGAAATACATCACACAACAAGCTTGGACGGCCATACTGCTTTACAAGAGCGAAGAGATACCTTACCAGTTGATAATCGATTTTAGAAAATGAAGTTTTATTTGACATTAACAATGAAAAGAATCATGAACACTTGCTGTTAAACAACCGTTTCAAGGCTGACCAACCGTAACGTAACGACCATATAAAAGCCGACTGAATAGTGTTGACAAAACAAATACCGTATAAAGCTACAAAATATCCATATTATAAAGTATTTTCTACATTTCTTTTCTATAATATATGTTTTGTTATATTCTTAAGTATGCAAGTAAATAAAGTACGAACAAATCAGGACAACCTCAGTATAAAATAAGTAAATAACAATAATAAAAAAGTAGTGATTGTTTACGCCCATTCAAAAATAACATGTTCACATTTTCTAACAAAAACTATACTATCAAAGCTTGTTTGAAATTGTTGTTTTTGCATAATTATTTAATATTAACATAAGAGAAGCAATATATATATATATATATATATATATATATATATATATATATATATATATATATATATATATATATATATATATATATATATATATATATATATATATATATATATATATATATATATATATATATATATATATATATATATATATATATATATGTATATATATATATATATGTATACATATATATACATATATATATATATATATATATATATATATATATATATATATATATATATATATATATATATATATATATATATATATATATATATATATATATATATATATATATATATGTATATATATATACATACAATAATAAACAAAGTCGTGTTTTTCAACTTTATATTGGATTTACAAACAGGCTTCGAACTGTGCGGATATCTTTAGTCAATAATTTTATATTTGCATATTTCAATTTTTGTGAAGTCTTGTTGGTCTCGATAAACACTAGTAAAGTTTATTACATGTTTAATTGTTTTTTTATTATTTATTTTTCTTATAGATATTTTGCCATTTAAAAATATTACAATAACCAGATATATTTTACAATTTTTACATTTGCAACGACAAGACTTCTAGAAGATCATGAGGATCATGTTATGAAGCCCTTTTCAATATATGGTTTATTTTTGATAAAAAATACATTGTTTGCAGTGAAATAATATATTACACTTTTTGCCAAAAAATTAAAAATGTTTAACCAAAATTTTAAAATGTTTATCTAAACGGTATACAAAGAAAAACAAAAAAACGATTAAAAATAAATTAGGTATTTTCAATTAAAAATACAATTTTTTTAAGTTTCTGTTTAAATGAAGTAAAAGTCAGATTGGTAGAAAAATCAAATTCGGTGAGACTATTTTTTTCCAGAGATAAGGACCTCGGTAAAAAACAAAAAACTGGTCTTTGCTTTTATGGCAAAAGCGGCAGTATGATAGTTATTAATACGAAGATTATATTTGTTTTTAGGTTTCAAACAATAAAGATTTGGTAATAAATTTGGTGACCAATTTTCTCTACATTTAAACATGAAGCATAAAATATTAAAGAGATTAAATTGATTTACATTTAAAACATCTTTAAAAGTCGTTTCGTCTGAGAAAAACGGTTTTTAAAAACTTATTGCGCGAGCTGCATGTTTCTGATGAAGGTAAAGAGATTTTAGCTTTGATCTATGAGTGCTTCCAAGTAAAATATTTGCGTAGTTTATATGACAATAAATAAATCAATAATATAGTTGAGTTAAATGGTGTTTACTGAATATATTTCTTGCTTTATAGAGAATTCCGATGCATTTAGCAATTTTATTGGAGGTATTATTAGTATGATTTCTTCAAGATAGATTTTCGTCAACTTTTTTTTTGTAATTATATTTCTGATAAAGTAATTTTTAGATATAATGAATTAAATATTTATTTTATCAAAAAACACAAAATAAATTATTCGTTAACTTTGAAAAATCTAGGATTCTTAAAGAAACTCTTGAGAACTCAAAACATGTGTATATATATATATATATATATATATATATATATATATATATATATATATATATATATATATATATATATATATATATATATATATATATATATATATATATATATATATATATATATATATATACAGGCACGTAGCCAGAATATTTTGAACGGGGGAGTACTTTTTTTAAAGGCGCCAAATAGGCAGCTTTGCCACAGTCTGGGTTTTTTCGTAGGAGAGTGCCAAAAAAATCTTATTTAAATTAATGCGCAGAAGCTAATTTATATAAGAATTTTTAGGCAATCTCCTACGCTTACACCCAGCCAGTGGTAACGCTACAAATAGGCATACAAATTGCATACAATAATTCAAAATTGAGAGAATGATATAATTTTAACAATTAAATAAACTTATTTTTTAAGAAAGCGGTGCCCCATTTGTCCCATCCGTGCTGTATTTACTAAAATAACTAAATATTCCGATTTATTAATTTTTATTAACCGACTCTGATTTTTATTATTCAAGTAAATTTCAACATTTGAAACGCGCAAATAGGTCGAGGCGGCCAATGGTGGCCGCCTCCAGAAAAATTTTTGGAGGCAAAAACATTTGGAGGCCGCCTCCAAGAGTTTCTGTCTCCCAGTTGGCTGCGGCCGCCAAATTGGAGGTGGAAATATTTGCCTCCCGCTGGCGGATGTAATGAAAAATAATTGCACGTTTATCTTTAAGTTAACGAGAAATTAAAATAATAACTGAGAACAAATTATGAATGTTTGACATCTAAGGTTTGGTTTATATGATTTATTGACTATTTAAAATAAAATTTGAAAAAAAAAATTATAATTTTGTCAGAGCGGTTATTTTTCTAGGATTTTCGAATTTAGAATTATTGTTTTGATGTTTATTTTGATATTTCAATTTTTTTTTGAAAATGTGAGGTCCCAACAAAATCGGAGAACCAGGCCTTATAAGATTGCATAAAATAGGTTTAATTACCCATAATTGATTGCATAAAATAGGTTTAATTACCGATGGCGGTTTAATTACCGATGGCGATGTAATTACCGATGGCGATGTAATTACCGATAGCGATGGCGGTTTAATTACCGATGGCGATGGCGGTTTAATTACCGATTACCGATGGCGGTTTAATTACCGATGGCGATGGTAGGTTTAATTACCGATAGCGACTATTGATTTTTATCGGCAGTTCTATTTTTTTGTGTGTGTAATTTAAGAGATTTAAAATATGCAAAGTAACTAATGCAATAAGTAACTAAAATAATAATAAAACTCTATTTTAAAAGTCATAATGCTAAAGTTTGTTTACCGCATTTTCTATTGCTAATTAGAAAATACAAGTAAAATAAAAACAAAAAGGTTTTATCGTTTAAACATTCTTTTTTTTTAATTTAATTAAATTTTAGAGATATGCAATAATTTAAAAGATAAGTAATAGAAGTAAATTTGTCCAGTTAGTCGAAATTCTACATATACCGAAAAAAAATTAAAAAAAAATTTAAAGAAATAACTAATGACTCTAGATCGCGTCTGGAAAGGCAATTTAATTAGTACTTTAAAAACTAGTTACTAATGATAATGGTAGGTTTAATTACCGATGGCGCTAATGTTTTAACTGGACGGAGACAAAGTGTTCAGCAACAGCTAGTAGGTGCAACAATTTTCTCACTTACATTGTTTGTCGCACCGATTGCAGCTGGCACTGAAAGATGCAGCCAGCACTTCAAAGGAACTCCAAATTCTGCAGCTATTTTGTGAGCAACTCTTCATTTTTCATCGAAGTTCTACTGTTATATCAGCGGTTTATTGTAACGCACGCAAAGTTTATGGTGTAAAAGGTATTTTAAGAAACAAGTCTTGTTATTGATAATATCTTAACGTATTTTTACTTATTATTTTTAGGTAGCAGGGGCGGATCCAGCATTTTTTGGTGTTTGAGATAGCTAACTTCCAGACATGGAGCAAACTCCAAACATTCATATGTTTATACTTATATCAAATAAGAATGGTTTGCAAAAAATTGCGATGATTGGAGCCTGGGAACAAAAAAGCCCTAAAATTTGAGACGTACCTGCCCCAAACGTGAGAGCAACAAGATGATATAATATTTTTTGTACTATTCTCAACAAGACTTATATTTATCCATAAATTTTAAATTTCATTGTAAAATATTTCCGCGTTCAAAAATTATGACCATGTAAAGTTTGAATCCCCCTCAATTCGAGGGGGTCACAATTTTTATATGGTCATAATTTTTAAGCGCTAAAATATTTTACTATGAAATTTAAAATTTATTGATAAATATAATTCTTGTTGAGAATAGTACAAAAAATATTTTATCAACTTGTTGCTCTCACGTTTGGGGCAGGTACGTCTCAAATTTTGGGGCTTTTTTGTTCCCAGGCTCCAATCATCGCAATTTTTTGCAAACCATCCTTACTTGATATAAGTATAAACATGTAAATGTTTGGAGTTTGCTCCATGTCTGGAAGTAAGCTATCTCAAACACCAAAAAATGCTGGATCCGCCCCTGGGTAGTGTTAACAATCAAAATTTTTATTAATTAATTTAGGCAATTTTATATTTATTTAATTTAGTATTTTAATTTTTAGGCCAAATGCAGAGTCATACGAGTTAGAAATAAACAACTAAAAAAGTATATATAATTAGGTAATATGTGAGTTTATTGTAATATATACTAATGTTATTGTTATTAAACGTTTTAGAAGTATAAACTTTGCGATAACTACCATTCAATAATCAAAGCAAAATGTTTACAAAAGATAAAAACTTCGTTATAAACAGATTACGTCGCGCTTTTTTTTGAACTATTTAATTAAAAGTCTATTAAAATTTTCTTGAAAGAACAAATTCATTCGAATTTTATAATTATATTTTGTTGCTCTTATACTTAGAGTTTTTTCAGAATAAGAAATTTTTTCTAATTTATTATTTCCTAAACGTTTATTGATTAAAATTTAATTTTTCAAAATAAAATATAAAAATTATTATTTGTATATTGATAAAATACATAATTTGTCGCTGTAAATTATATATTGAATTAACTACTAAATTCAAATATTTAATTACAATTTATATATAACTTAACTATATAGTATTTAATAAAAATACACCATTGCTTTTCAAATTAAAACGTTAATGTAACAAATAATAAATTGTTTACTAAGAAATTTAAGAATTTACCAATAATAATATTGTTTATGTTTTTATTAGGTTAGCACACAAAAAAAAATGTTTCAACGTATGAAGTTAAGTCTTAGCTCGAGCAATTTAGAAAGATTCGAAGAAAATCCAGACGCTGGTTTTTACTGGAACAAGCGCTCGGTATATGGGATTGTAAATTTGCATGAAGTGATAAAAGTATGAAGATCGAGTTTTTATTACTACATCCATGCAAAAGTGCATTTTGAAACGATATTCAAATGTATCAGATGTCTTTGCGGAGGCGGACGAGTTGCTTAACACAGTTGAATGGACGGAGAGCGACTTTTTCACGGCTGAAAACAACAAAAAGTTACATAAAACATGCTAGACAATAACATAAAAGCCTTTATTGACGACGATATGCTTTGCAACAACTCGAATATAAACGAGTAGATGTTGAAAATATTTTATTAGAGTGGATAATATTGAAGAAAATAATAGCAACTTGGACAAGTGCAAGTTCAAAATCATTTCCACCGCTATCTATGTAAATCTATATAAACCAGATAGATTAGCGAATCTATCTATATAAACCAGATAGATTCGCTAATCTTTTTTCTCTGATTGATTTTTTATTTTGCCATAGCTTAAGTTCGGCAGACGCGGAAAAAGGCTTTAGCGCAATGAAAAACATTAAATCAATTCAAAGAACACGAGTCAGTAACAAGTTATTAACGATTGTATAATTCCAGAAATGGAGTTGTACGATCCAACAAAAGCCATTAAACACTGGCTTTTAAAACCATCACGAAAAAAAAAACTAGCATTATTCAAAAAAGCTTTACGTGGACAACAAAACTCCAGTTGTGTCAGTTAAAAAGTCAAAGAAAATACAGATTTTTGCTAGTAGCGATGATGACAGTGATAGAGCTGTAACAATTAATGACGATATATAATAATTTTGAGTCTTGAATGTTTTTTACCTTTCAAAATATAAATATTTTTTCTTGTAACAAATAAGATCGTAATAATTACAACACATTAAAAGCAAAAGGATTTTAAAGTATTTGCAAATTGTTTTTTATATTTGTCAAGAGTTTTTTGTTGTAATCGAACGTCTATTTTTTTTATAAAATGAGCGCTCAAATAAAGTTTAAAAATATAATGGCATGTGTTTTTTTTTGAAAGTAGAAAAGTGAATTTTATTAACAGTTTTCAATATTACTTTTATTTGCGCATATTGTTTCTAGTGCACATTTAGCCATATAACAAAAAATGACTAAAATATGCGTGAACTTCGCTAAGTGGAAATTTAAAAAAAAAAAAGGCAACGGGCGACTCAAAACGTCGGCGGGCGACCAAAATTAACAAACTGGTTTGTTTCAGTCGTCCTTCTGGCGACTGACCAAAAGTCCTAGTGTACACCCCTGATATATATATATATATATATATATATATATATATATATATATATATATATATATATATATATATATATATATATATATATATATATATATATATATGTATATATATATATATATGCATATATATATACATATATATATAAATATATATATATATATATATATATATATATATATATATATATATATATATATATATATATATATATATATATATATATACATATATTAGCAACGTTTATATAACACAGCATATAGCTTAAAAGTTTTAAAAGTTTTTTACTTTTTTTTGAAATTCAATTAAAACGTTCATAATTTTTTTTAGTAAGAAACGAAGATTGTTGATAAAAGTCATATTTTCCAGAATAACGATTTTCTTTCCCGCAACATTTTTTAGGCTATTAAAAACAAAAACCTTTTTAAAGGCAATAACCTTTTCTAAGTAGCCTTTTTAAAGGCTACTTGGAAAAGGTTATGCAACAGTAACTACGTTGGTCAGACAAATCCATTTAAAGGCTTTGTTTTTTAAAGTAGGTGATGATTAGGTGATTATATAATTAACTAACTTTTTTTTTTTGTAAATTTTTTGTACATTCGTCGTAATTAACAGTTAAAAAAAAGTATAAAAAACAAAGTAACTTTTTTTTAAATTGGGCTAATAAAAAAACAAATGCTGATAGTGTTTGAAGTAATATTATGTTTTAAATTTTTGCGCCTAATTATCCCCTAGTTATAAAAACACAGTCTTTAAATAGAATTGAATACTTAACTTATGAATAGATACACTTATCAGAGGAGCCGTTTCTTTTTTATTTTCCAGTTTTTGCAACTGCTTTGCGCTTATGCTGACTCGCCCTTATGAGAGTTATTGTAATTATTTCGCACTTATGCCTATGTTAGCTAATTCTTTTGGCGCGCTTACCCCAGTTCACACTTATGCAGATTCTCTCTTATGAAATTTGCACTTAATCAGGCGCACCATTATTTACAACACTTTAAAAATTATTTATTAATTAGCTATTTGAGAGAGCTGTTATTTTGACGTACAATGTTTGCAATTGCTATTTATAACAACTGATACCGCACGAAAGAGTATTTTAAACAACGTGCTGGCAGTCCATTTATTCTTATTTATTTGGTCTTCGAGGAACTTTAAGTTTATATAAACTTTAAGCTCCTAAACCATGCTCCTAAGAAGCTGTTTTTAAAAACTAAAATTTTATAATTATCATATAAATATCAAAAATTAAAAGTTTTGATATGCATTAAATGATAATTTTTAAATGGTTTCTCTATTATTTTCTTATATTTATGGAAATATTTTTTTTATTTTTTTTATTTTTATGGATCATTGGTAAGGAAGGAGGCGTGAACTTCTTGGTTAAATGCTATTTGACTGTGCTCTGAGAAAAAACCGTAAGGACTTCTTGCAGCACCTAAACAACTAAAAAGTAATAAAAAATAATTTATTTTGTAAAAACCAAACAATTCCTGGATTAGGTTCTTTAATAAAATCTAATTTTAGTGTGAGCAGTCGTTAGATTTCCAGGTTCGCTGCCAGCTCTGGCCTGATAAACGACATTGGTTAGGAAGGAGGTACATGCTTGCAAGTTATAACTGTCTTCAACTCTTTGCACAATTTGGTAAACGTCACAATCCTAAAATATCTTTTTATGTTTTAAAATGGCTTTTTTTTTTAGTTATTAAAGTGCTCCAAGACGACCTAGCGGTCTTATCATAAAGTACCGCAGAAGGGCATTTAACAAGGAAGTGCTTTTCAGAGCATTTTAGAGATAAAAACACTAAGTGGTATTGGAAACTAAAAAAAAAGACATCGTAAAAAAAAAATGTCATTTTACGGTTATGAACTTTATTGAACTTTGCAAAGAGTTAAAGATAACAAAAAGATTTACAATTTTCTTTTTCGACTAGTCAAAATCGTATCGTGTAGTCAGCAAATTGGTTTACATACTTTTACAAAAATTTATTTAAAAAAAATGGGAGAAAAGGAAAAAAAAATTTCACTCAAGGACTTTTATTGTTTTCTTTGTAACAATAACTAAAAGTATAAAACTCTCATCAATTGTCCTACTAGAGTAACTACAATCTCAGCATTTTAGTTGATAACATTATTTTAACGAATCTTTTATTAACAATTATATGCAAAAAAGGTATTTTAAAAACTGACATAACGGATCATTTTCTCCTTTTCGTAACAAATAACACGTAATCAAAAAATATATTGACAAAAAAAAGTAATAAAGAAACGCATTAATCAAAATAACCTTAATTTATTTAGAGACCAACGATCATTACACCAACAATCTTTATTCTATTGGAACAACATACACACTAATGATAATATAAAAAAATATATACTAAACATTTTTTGTTCTGTACACAAATTTTTAATTCTCCTTGGATTGCCAACCTTTAAAAAAACCATCTATAATCAAACAGAACTTATATATAAATTTTCTGAAAACAAAAACAACTGCAAACGACAAAATTTAGAAAATCTATATGCATTTATTTAAGAAAATTCGTAATAATAACTTAATAAATGCTAAAGTTACTTCTACTTATAAAGAAAAAATCCCAAATAACTAGTTATCGCCCCACCATGTGTATTTTCTATATTTTCAGAAAGAATCATGTGCAACAATCATATAAACATCTTGACGAAAATAACTATTATACGTTAATCAATTTGATTTTAAAACGGGTTTTTTTGTTGTTGGGATTATTAAGATGATCACAGAAATCATACGGTCTAAGCACAGAACACTGCGAAAAAGAATTTAACTAGAAATTAAAAGTTATTACTTTGCTGTATTTTATGTTTTATATATCAAATAAATAAATTATGTAAAATAACAAGAAATGTCATTCAAACAACTAGAAAGGTGAACTTTCTTGCCTCCTTTGCCGGAAGCATACTTTGAAACCCTATACAAAAAAAAGTTAAAATCCGGGCTGTTGAACGATACGAGTTCAAATCCTGCCACCGCCAACTCAGCGCTTGAGTAGCACTTCGGTACGCAAAATGTTGGTTAATAACCGACACTACTTTGGATTAGTCTTAATGACTATTTGTATTTATATAAAATTTCTTTTAAACTACATTATCAAAAAAATTCTTAGAAAGTATAATGATTTAAAATAAAATCGTTTTATTTTAGTATTAGTATTATTTAAACAAATTTAAACAAAGTTTATGTCATTTTTTGACTTATAAATATTGTCGTAAAATTTCAAATAAAAGCTTCGTTAAGCTTAACGGAGAGATAAGAATACGGTAACAGATGGTAAAACAATACTGTGATTCTCATACGATAGAATTTTTAAAACAGTTTTATAATTTACCTAGTAATAACAATAGAATATAAATATCTTGGATTTTTTTCACATTTAAGCTCTTATTAATTCTATCATTTAGCTAGAAAAATGTTTAAAAAATTATATATTACTAAAACATTTTAATTTAAGAATATTGCTTATTGGATGTTATAGCTAGCCCAGGTAGTTTGTACTTGTAAGCAAGAGTTGATTTAGATTACCTTTAGTAATGTAAATAAAAGATTACATGGCATTGTAGCATAATAAACTCTAAGAAAAAATTTATAACCACAAGTCTGTTTTGAGATGGTAAACTGATTATTTTAAAAAATAACTTTTAATTTTTAACTTTTATAAATAACTTTGTGTAAAAAGGTAGAAACAAATAAAATTGCAAACATAACAAGAGTTTCATGTTATTGTTTATTTTAACTTCAAAAGTCAATACATATAAAGCATATGTTTGTTGATATATAGCTGTTATCCTGAACAAAATTTTGGTTATTGTATTCTATTATTGGTAAAAAAAATGTCTACCCTCTTATAGCAACTGATGGTAAATAATATAAAATAAAGCAACAAACTTTGATAAACTTTATATTTATTATGTTATTAATTTATTTTACGTTATATACTCCTATTTCCAAATTTTATGAATGGTTTCATTATGTAATTTTTGGTATAACCACTAAAAATGTATAATATAAAAATAGAGATGTGTCATGTTTTATTTTGAAGTAATATGAATAAATTTTTATGAAAACTTGCTTCTTCAAATGTTAAAGCTTGTTTTAATGAAGTTCTTTTTATTAAAATAATTTCACTTTTATTTGGTTAATAAATTTTCAAATAAAGTCTTAATATTCAACTGTCATCTTCGAATTTTCTTTAACACATACATTTTTTTTCCATTTCTTTAAACTAATAACAAACAGAGCCGTCCCGATGGAAGGGGACGTAACCCCACCCCACCGGTGGGGTGGGGTTATGTATCAGTTTTTGCCGACTATATTACGTATCAGTTTTTTGCCGACTTTATTACTACATATTCCTTCTGATATTGAAAAGAAACTCTTTTGCACGTAACTGATACTGATGAAAAACAGATACGTAACCCCACCCCTCCGGTGGTGTTGGGTTACGTATCAGTTTTTCAGTATTAGTTACGTGGAAAAGAGCCTCTTTTTCAAAATCAGCGAATCAGATTGCTCATATTCTGAGCCTGTATAGGGTTTCAAAATATGCGAGCTGGCGTCGAACCTTGGACCACTTTTTTTCTGAGCCAGAACTCTAACCACTACGCCACTG